AAAAATTCTCAGTTATATATTTTTTCTTTCGGTCACTTTGTTTTGCACATTTTAAACGCTAACTGCTGATAAAGGTTTCACAGTTAGGAAAGAAAATTCTACAAATCATTCTGCTATTTGGTGAAAGCTCCTGGGCTGTTCACAATATCTTATGACAGAACAATATAACCTAGATGCACTCCTTTTATTAGCATCAGTTGCTATTTTTCCTGATGTGGTAAAGGGTAACATCATGCTGTTGTCTAAGAAGCTATGCTGCAAAGTAGAGATTGCAGGCTCAGTGTGTTGTATCTTAGAGGCTTAGCTTTCTCATTTAACAACTAAAAACATAACAAAAAAAAACATCAGCAAAAACAATTGGCTTGGTCATGGTTCAGTATTATCTGGATTCACTTGTCCTCAATTGAAAAAGAGGTGTGAGATGACATTGAATTGGATTGTGAATTCCTTGATAATACAGACCCTAAGAACATTTCTCATTACATCAAAGTGTTTAACCGTGTGTGGTGGGCAAAGCTCCACTCCTGTCAGTATTCGGCCACTGTCTCTTAAATCCCTCCCAACCACGCACCTCCCTAGAAGGCAACGAGTCCCTCTATTCCAAAGCTGAGGCTCCCCCTTGTAGGACAGTTCAAGGCTATTGAGGTTTTTTTAGTGTATCATTGTACAGTATATCACTGTTATAGGCTTAAGGACCAAATGAGCCCCATTACAGATGGAATAACAACAAAATAAATACATTTAGTCAAATTTCAGTGTTACATAAAAAGCATGAGAACTGCAAAGGAGAGAAATACTTATTTCCTTTGTCCTGTTTTGTCTTCGTTTAGAGGCATGTTGCCATTCATTTTGCAGCAGTACTTTGTAGCTGCGTTCCATTACAACAGCTTTAATCACCTTAGAATCGGATTACTACTGCAACATTAATAGGGTTTAGTTTCAAAACCCTTTTATTGAACTGTGCATAAACGATACATGAATACTATATTTAAATGACAGTATTTGTAACATGAATAATGCCAGGTTTATTTTTAATTGGAATATGAGTCTACATTATCTCAGAAAAGACCTAAAACACAAAATAGAAATTCCTTATGCTATGTTGAATTCTGTTACATATTTCAAAGTTTTCTTTTACACTTTTTCATTACACCTAAATCCTTTCAGGTTCATACTGTGTTGTCAAGCATTGACATTCTTTAAAAGCATATCAAGCATTTTGGATATACTTTATAGCTTTGGCACACATACTGTATATTTATCTTGTATAAAAATTGTTTCCTAATTAGTCTTTGTGTAAAATGAAGAATATTTCACAAGTAAGATATTACCCCAAGGAATGGCATAGAATAGTCCATACAAATATGTTTTCAAACGGAATGTGAAGTATGCCTGGGAATCATAGACTTAATCAGATTTTCTAAAAAAAATAGTTTAAAAACTTTAAACTTTACATATATAGGCTGTCTTGATGTGAAGAGTATTTTTAGCTTATACCACCAATATGCCCCCTTGCAATTCAATTGTTATCAATTGTCATCTTATTTTTCACTAAAAACAAAAGGATGGTAAGTTCTATCCTAAAACTATTTTTTTTCCAACACAGTAACACAAGGATTATGAAAGCTAAAGGTCATTCTTTAATTAAGAATTAAGAGTCAGGATTTAATGACATATACAAATATATTTCTATTTACCACCCTGATTACTGCGAAATACACTGATGATTATTCTGTTTGCAGTACTTGTTCTTAAGCTCAAAAACAAATCTGTTCAAGCTTGACTCTAGGCTTGCTTCTCATCTAAATTTTATTACTTGCCAGTCTCATATTTTAAAAAAGTACAAATGTTTAAAAAAAGCTTTTGGAAAGAAACTGTCATGCTCGAAAGGAACAGTTTGTGTTGATTCCTAATATGTACCATGGCTCGGACTACAGAAGCCACAGATGTTCTTATTAACTTCAGCAGTGTGGGTGAATCACAGCACTCCTGTGGCCATTTACTTCTGTGTTTGAACAAAGCAATGCATACTGCTGCCATCTAAAATAGCAGTATCATCCCTCTGCCACAGGGCTGAATCAGAAAGTGTTTATTAACGTTGTTTTTTTCCCAGTTAATTATATGTTTTATTTCTAAATCACACCATATGTAATTATTTTGTTTTTGCAGTGAACACAGTTATACATGTCTGCACAAGGTTCACTTGTCTTTTGCTACACTTTGCCTCTTCCCTGGGACTCTCTGGGAAATAATACATCAAAAAGGTTATGTTGAATAAATTAATGGCACATTTCCTGTGACCTGTTCAGAATATCCCCTGCAGGGAGACAGTGCCATCTTTGGGCAATATCAGTAAGCATAAAACTGACTTGGAAGAGAACATACTGTAGGTTTATAAACAGGTTTTCAGATTTTAACCAATATATCTGATTTTCAGAACTTTTAATCCACAAAAATAAACAAATATCAATGAAAAGGTAATGAAAATCTGGTTCTCACAAGGAAATCATCTTATCTACATTTCTGTGGAAATAAGAAATCAAACACTACCTATCACAGAACATGAAAAACAAAACACATTTGTGTAATATTTTGGAAACTACATAAGGCTGCAAAAATATTTAATGAAGTATGGATTTCTATGAAAGCCACTGTAAAACACACAAATGATTATTTATAGAGTACTACTGCATAGATTTTTAGAATTACCAATAGCTTCCAAGCACAAATAATTTCCTCAATATCATCCAGTCCCTCTTTTGTCTATACCACAAATATAATGATCCAACTGTCAGGTCAGACTGCAATTAGTTATTTATTCTCACTGAGGCAGAAATGTAAATTCCAAAAATGATGAATTTTCTTATTTCACAATTTACACATGAAATCAAATATTTTGAGCCCATTTCCAGAATCTTTCATTTGTACTCAATGATATTACTATTAAAAAGGTCAAATTAAAAAAAAGTATCTTCTTTTCAAACAAAAATGCAGCAGTAGCCTAGTTATTGGACAAACATAGCTAGTAATTGCGCATGACATGAGTTCCCAAAGGGAGATTTTTATACATGTAACAATCATGCTCGCTTGGTTCCATTTAATCAAGCTTAGAAAATCAGAATCATCACGGTACTGCCTGGGTACCAAGGGTGAAAACTTGTAGTCCTGGTGTGTTTAGAACAGGTGGATTGGACCACTAAATATAGGTTTACAAAAGAATATACAGTATACAGTGTATACAGTGAAAAGGCTACTATTAGTTAGATCTAGCACTTTTTAACAAGGGACTTGAAAAGTATAAAGGATAAAAGTGAAATGGGAAAAACAACAGCAGCACTACTATATGTAGAAAATAATCGCCTATTACTCATTATGATGTATACATTTAAAACACATATTAGGATAACTGAACAATATCCACTCCACACCCAGAAAGTAAAAAATGAAAAGCCATTAACGACAATGCTAACATTTCTGTTTTTTTAAATGCTGTGTATCACATTATTTTTCTGATAAAATTAAAACAATTTACCCTTTGTGCTTTAAATTGTTGATTAAATATATACATAAAAATGAACAGATGAATAAATAGATAGAAACCCACAAGGAAAAAATGTAAGCGTTTGCTCATAAGCAAAGGCACATTCAACATCCCATGGTGATTTAAAATAAAGAAAGCGTATGAATACACACTGACAGACACTGAAAGAAGTACGCTAATTGGCGTCTTGGTAATAGCCTAAAGCCCCAAAGTCATTCCAGTACTGTGTCAATAGACACTCTGTTTTAAAAATGGCATATAAAAGTGCAACAGAATCCTGATTCAATCAGCCAAGTAGAGCAACTGTTCTTCCACAAAAAACTAGCTCGTTATTCCAGGGAGACGATAAAGATGCCCCGAGTGAATACTTAAGACTTGCATTCATATACCATGAAGTCGCAAGCTAGGAAATATTAGAAGATACTGAAGTGTGTGGGCAATTACTCTCATCACTTGGAAAGATCACATTGACAGAGTAGAAAAAATATGTGCCCTTCCTGCCATGTGACCTTATCAAGTTAGACACACACACAAAGTATGGGCAATGCTGCCTGATTAGCTAAGATATTTTTATGATATAATGATAACACCTGTAAAAAAACCAAAACCAAAAACAAATTTTATCTTCCAAATATCTTAGTATGAATGACTACTTACAATAACTAATCAATACGTCATTTTACATAACATGCAATGGCCTACCAATATTGCAATAAAAGTATTTAACTATCCTTCATGTAACCTCAGGCTGTTACCTAGATTAATGTGTAGATCTGCTAATTATTTGAGGATTTAACAGACATGCTGGGCTTTTTAATTCATATAATTTCATACAGTGTAATTGATTATTTAAATACCCAAATGGAAAACAGAGCAATGCCACAGAGCACCAAAAGTAAAGGTAATTTGCAGACTGTTGTATTTTAGAAAAGGCACACCAAAAATGTAACAAAGGAATGTGAACCTAGAGGCATACACAGCTATCAGAACAGTTGAAAATATTGCTCCACATTAGGAAAAGAGAAAAATGTACTTCAACTAGTTCTTGACCAGTAGTCTTGATAAAATACTTTTTTATGGGTTGTTATGCATTTATCAGTTTTGATTCTCAGTACTAAACCTGATTATGTTTTTCATTTTTATGTATATATAAACCTGATTATGTTTTTCATTTTTCAAAAGAGAAAAATGTACTTCAACTAGTTCTTGACCAGTAGTCTTGATAAAATACTTTTTTATGGGTTGTTATGCAATTATCAGTTTTGATTCCCAGTACTAAACCTGATTATGTTTTTCAGTCCTGCTAAGTGCTCTTTGTGTATTTTGTGTACTTTACTGTCACACACGTCTCCCATGCTTGAACATTAGGCTTAAACATTCATTTGACCTGAACATACATTTCATTACACAGTTTGCATACTCAAGAAAGAATTGTCAATCAAATCCACTTATTACTTACACCACTGACACAATGTCTCCACGCTGTACTTGATAGTGTCGAACACTCCAACGGTTTAAAAGCACTATGTCAGATGTTGTTCCTCCTTCAGGGTTCAAGGAAGGCTAAGAAAGAAAAAAAACTGCATTAAAAATGTGTATGTCTCTACTGTGTTTGGCAACATGCATTGATGTTCAATTATATTTGCATCAAGAAAAAGGAAACAGACAAAAGAGCATACATACCGTATAGTATTGTAATAAAATGGGGCACCACAGAAAGAGAAACAAGATATTAACATGTAGTCTTTAGACAACAGGAACAAGTAAAGGTTTATTCCATGCTGAAAAGAGAAGAAAGGAAACAATGTTTGGGTGTCAGGCTGTGGAACCACCTGAAGAAGGCTCCACAGCCAGCTCCACAGCCTGACACCCAAAGAAAGCTCCACAGTCGAAAAGCTATGTTTCCTTTCTTCTCTTTTCAGCATGGAATAAACCTTCACTTGTTCCTTTGCAGCCCTATGCATGCTGACGCAGCTCCCTACTTGAACGTCTTTAGACTATCTTTCACTGCTTGTAATAATAACCAAATACAATTATAACTATAGAAAAATATAGTTTGTAAACAAGAAGAGGCCACTGGGCACATCCAGCTTGTTTTCACTTCTCTTGAAAGAACCTACAACAGGGTATCTTGGTCCAGACTCAGATTCCACTTTGTTAAGAAAAGGCTTTTGCTCACTGTTTCAAATGCACCACCATGTACTTTCCACTCTGATTTTTATTTCACTACTCTTTAACTCTATGACATACGTGGACCATGTCCTCTTGTAGGCTTCTTAGTTCAAGACTAAAGTGACTTTTTTAATTTAACTTGTTGGAGTAGGACATAACTTTGAGTCTGGCAAGGTTTTGGATCACTGTTCTATAGGCTGATTACAGAGTAGCAATTGTTTTTTTCACATATTCTAATAAGTTTTAACTAGTGCATTGTACACTTTTTAGATAACATCCCTTGAACTTAAATTATGTGCTTTTAACTATAGAACTACTGTAAATAGAAAAATTGCTTGCTTTTTTATTGTTTCTTCACATAGTCTTGAATTAAAAATGACATGTTCACATTAGCACCAATGCCTTCCCATAGGTAACTTCTTGATATCAGTTTCCCATTTTATATTTATATCGTATACTTCTGCCACCTGTATATAACATTCTGCACTTCTAAATGGTACTTTCCAGGTGCTTACTGAGTCTTGAATCCTATTTTTTAAAATTTAAAATTTGCTCTGCCACTTCTACAGCATCATGAAGGATCAGATATATAAATCAATATTATGAATCTGAAGAATTAAAAAATAACAAAGACAGCATATCTCTGCCTTCCTTTGTTTGCCATTTTTAGTAACTGAATTTTCCCCAACCCTGATGATTATTAACAAGAACATATTTATAGATTCATCTGAATACTGAAAAAATAAGTCAGATGTTGACTTTTCCCTGATCATTATTTAGCAAATTAGACTGCACCTGAAATGCTATTAATTTGCAAAATGTGTGTTACTGTTATTAGAAACAATACACAAAAGATAAAACGATACAAAGAGAATACACAAAAAGCAAGATGGGCACTCATATTAAAAAGCAAGTACAGGTGACAGTTTCTAAGATAAATCCCTGATACATAAATTCCATTATCACAAAATAACTTTGTTATGAGTTCTGCATTATTCCACGCTCAACAGTTTTCCAATTAACAGATAATTGTAAGAGGAACCATCTTAGCGGGGTGCAGAAAACACCTATTAAATGGTGAATGAAGAGACTATAATTGCTAAAATTGCACCCACAAAAGTGCAGAAGCAGATGCCACAATGGATGGCTCCTGGGAGCCAAGAACAGGAATCTGGGTCAACATGCAATAGCAATTCACCTTTTAATGTGCTCAAGTGAGGGTAACATTAAGAGCAAAGAAAAGGTCAAATACCAAAATGCATTGATCTTTTAAGGCCGGTGAAGTCATGCTAAATTGTTTTCCAAAATGTAAGTGTTATCTTGGTTATTTGAGGGACCTGGATGCACAAACATGTACAACTTTAAAAATATACAGTATTTGGCATTGCTTCTCAGCACATTTACACTATCTAATGGCACACTTGCTACAGTTAGCTTTAGCTGCTGTAGACTTGATAATGGTCATGATGGTAAATGTGGTTTATCACTGTTCTCATAATAGAAAATATTATTAATATTTTAAAAGGTTTTAGATTTGATGGCAATGATTATTGTTGGGGGACTAAAAGGTGTCTTGCTCTGATATCTTGGGAAAAAATGAGTAGCGCAGCCATAGCTACTGTATAGAGGAGAACATTCTGGTTACATACTTAAGTAAGTGAAACGTACAGTACAGTACAGTAAGTACATCTACATTAATCTTAAATCATGTTCTTTTGTTCATTTTTTGTCACTAACACATTGATTAATGGAAAAGATGTGTGCTGTTTCATGTAGACAAATCCTTTCCATTAGTCAATGAGTTAGTGACCAAAATGACCAAAAGAAGGTAAATCATCACAAGAACATATTTGCCTGTACAGGTCAGTGAATATATGCTTTTTCTGGACATGTTCTTCTTTTTTTTTTACTTTGTATACCCCAACCCCATTTTGTGCATTTGCTTGGAAATTACATTAGTTCTTATTAAAGTTTCCAAGAAATGATGGAAGACACTTTTTAATAAGAAACAGGTTTGCTCAGACTTTAGTTCACAGTGTTTCAATGGGCACCACACACTATGCACAATGCACGTAACTATTTCTCATACTATATATTCATTTACACTCACTTCCAAGAAGCCCTCTTGTACAGTAAATTGCTTTAGCTAGAACAGATCGCTATCATAAAAATCCAAAGAGAATGCAATTGATCATTATTGGGCAATTACAAGATTCATCTGCAGATATTCAATTGTGCAGAATTTGTCAACTTCAGTTCTCACAGCTGTCTAAGAAGAGTCATACAAGGCTGTAACACAGTGCATCCTGTTCTTTACAAACTGGACTTCTTTGCCACATTGTGTGTGTTATATAACAATGAGCTTATAGATCATATAAAGCAAAGGACATTTTAAAGAACTGTTTTAATTGTTAATATCAATTATTCAGAGCCTCTTGCAGAAGAAACAAGAACACTTGACCTGGAACATTTTCAAAGCAATTCTTCTTGGGAAGACAAACGGGTTTTTCATGCCAGCCACAGGGATTAGGATTCCAAAAACCCTTGAGTGTCCTAGAACACTTGAGTATATTGGAAAAAGGAAGATAGATTACAATGGTTTGGGTTACACTCATCAAAAGGTAACAAAACTTGCAGATACAACCTTTAAATGTAAACATACAATAATAGGAATTATAATCCTACATATAAATTAAATTATAAATAACAGTATAATGTGATGTTATTTACCTTGAATCCTGGCATTAAGAAACAGCAAACAAACTCTGAATCTACTTAAGAGAGCACTAAAATCAGGTGGGCACACTAGTATGAAAAATACAAAACTGAGAGCCCAGCTGTCAGACCAACTTGGAAGAATGGCAAGATGACATCAGAATCACAGGTTGGTGGAAAAGCCACATGCTTTTTAAGTGTCCTAAGTCAAAACAATGTATGAGCACGTGTCTTGCGGTTGAGAAGATTAACTCTCAATATAGAAACTATGGATGAAGGAAGTCCATTATAGGGATGTATGAATGTAATTGTAACAAAAAAAAGGCAATTTCTGGAGATACGCATACTGTAAGGCATATTTCCCACAGTGCCCTGAAATGCAACACTTTTACAGAAGGTTTTACAGTCTGAGTCCAGCCATGTTATTACCACGAATGGGGGTTTAAGAGTTTACATTCTACTTATGGTCCAGTGGCTATTCTGGATGATGTTATCCCGCCTTTCAGCTATTTCTGTAGAGTCTTGTACAACAGCAGGTTTCTGTTTTTTACACAATGTTGGAAAACCCATGGTTGATGACAAAAACCTGTACACAGTTTATTGTAGCCAAGTCAACAGATGAGAACCCAAAATCAACTTCATGGCATGTCATTAGTTACACAAATGGGGTAAAAGATATCTTAAAAGTGAAGAATTGTCACACTGATAAAGGTTTCATTTCACAGAGAGAACAGCTGTGTAACATGTACATTATGAAGCATAAAAGTCAAATATCAAGGAGAACAATTTACACATTTTAAGTAAATCTGAGTGAGCCAAAATGTTTGAAGACTAAAATGCTGTTATCTTACTAGTGCTGCACAGAGCAAGGCATATTTGTCATAAATATTTAAAATAAAAAATCACAAAGGTCACTTTTATTCACACTCCTGTAGTTAGTGCATAACCACGATGATGAATACTTCTACTGAATGTCTTCTGTGTGATTTTTTTTTTATTTTGCTTTTATGTTATTGAATCTAATTTCCACTTTATGCCTGACTAACAAACAGATTTGTCAACTATGGGGAAAAGAAATGTCAAGAAGTCTGCGAGTTCCAAATTGAGGTGATCCATTATGGGAAAACTTTGTGCATAATACAAATCACAAGAGAACAAACTACTGTAGATGTCTCTGTAAGAAAATGGCTTTGTGCACTCCACCAATTTAATATGAATATGGATTTTTTTGGATTTTGGAGGATTTTGAATCACTGCCACCCACTATTTAATGTGCATACTGTAAATACATTTTAAATTACTGTGTATTTTGCTAATCAAACAATGCAAACCAACTTTGAAATTATTTCACATTGTTGCTTAACAGGTCTTGGCTCTTCTTGACATAAAAGTTCCATAGAATCCTATTAAAATATATACAATTTACACAAAATACAAAGACAGACACCCTGATTCCTTAAAACAGATTTTTAAAAAAGAATACATAGAGAGTATTAATTGCTTCTAACGGTTAATCCTTTGCACAAAACAAAAGAATGTAAGCCTCTTCAGTATACACAGTATATGTACATTTTTTTTCTTTATGTAATATTAAAAAAGAATGCCTGTTGTATAATTTCTACTATTACTTTAAAAACTTTCTTTTCAAAAGCTTATCTTTCTTACACTGACATTGG